CAACTACTTCAAAACAAATACTGGACAGTACAACAACTATAATAAACCACCAACACCCAACTACTTCAAATAATCCATCATCAACCATCAACACCCAACTACTCCAAAACAAATACTGGACAGTACAACAACTATAATAAACCACCAACACCTAACTACTTCAAATAATCCCTCATCAACCACCATCACCCAACTGCTCCAAAACAAATACTGGACAGTACAACAAGTAAAATCAACCACCAACACCAAACTTCTTCAAATAAGTCATCATCAACCACCATCACCCAACTGCTCCAAAAACAAATACTGTACAGTACAACAGACCACATCAACCACCAACACCTATTATGACTGTTTGTTTTGTTCACACATTAATAATATAATGGAATTTTATGCGACTATCATACAAGGGAGAGGTTTATATAGCTAGCTATAAAACCAAGTTTAATCCACCATTTTCTACACAAGGAAATTTCTGTACAAAGTCAGGGATATGACAGTTGTTTTCCATTCGTTTAATGTGTTTGAGCTTTTAATTTTGCCATTTGATAAGGGACTTTCCGTTTTGAATTTTCCTAGGAGTTCGGTATTTTTGTTTTTTTACTTTCTACCCAACTTCTCCGAATAAAATACTTGACAGAACAACAACTACAATCAATCACCAACACCCAACTTCTTCAATTAAAATACAAAACAGTGCAACAACTATCATGAACCACCAACAACCAACTTCTCTCAATGAAATACTGGACAGTACAAAAACCATCATGAGCCACCAACACCAACTTCTCTAAATGAAATACTGAACAGTACAACAACCATCATCAACCATCAAAACTAAAAAAAAACTCTAAATGAAATACTAATACTGGACAGTTCAACAGAACTAATCAACCACCAATACCCAACTTCTCCGAATAAAATACTGGACAGTACAACAACTATAATCAACCACCAACAGCCAACTTCTTCAAATAATCCATCATCAACCACCAACACGCAACTACTCCAAATCAAATACTGGACAATTCAACAACTATAATATACCACCAACACCCAACTACTTGAAATAATCCATCATCAACCACCAACACCCAACTTCTCCAAAACAAATACTTGACAGTACAACAACTATAATAAACCACCAACACCCAACTTCTTTAAATAATCCATCATCAACCACCAACACCCAACTACTCCAAAACAAATACTGGACAGTACAACAACTATAATAAACCACCAACACCCAACTACTTCAAATAATCCATCATCAACCACCAACACCCAACTTCTCCAAAACAAACATGGACAGTACAACAACTATAATAAACCACCAACAGCCAACTACTTCAAATAATCCATCATCAACCACCATCACCCAACTACTTGAAAACAAATACTGGACAGTACAACAACTATAATAAACCAGCAACACCCAACTACTTCAAATAATCCATCATCAACCACCAACACCCAACTTCTCCAAAACAAACATGGACAGTACAACAACTATAATAAACCACCAACACCCAACTACTTGAAATAATCCATCATCAACCACCAACACCCAACTTCTCCAAAACAAATACTGGACAGTACAACAACTATAATAAACCACCAACACCAAACTTCTTCAAATAATCCATCATCAACCACCAACACCCAACTACTCCAAAACAAATACTGGACAGTACAACAACTATAATAAACCACCAACACCCAACTACTTCAAATAATCCATCATCAACCACCAACACCCAACTTCTCCAAAACAAATACTGGACAGTACAACAACTATAATAAACCACCAACACCCAACTACTTCAAATAATCCATCATCAACCACCAACACCCAACTTCTCCAAAACAAATACTGGACAGTACAACAACTATAATAAACCACCAACACCCAACTACTTCAAATAATCCATCATCAACCACCAACACCCAACTTCTCCAAAACAAATACTGGACAGTACAACAACTATAATAAACCACCAACACCAAACTTCTTCAAATAATCCATCATCAACCACCAACACCCAAATACTCCAAAACAAATACTGGACAGTACAACAACTATAATAAACCACCAACAGCCAACTACTTCAAATAATCCATCATCAACCACCAACACCCAACTACTTCAAAACAAATACTGGACAGTACAACAACTATAATAAACCACCAACACCCAACTACTTCAAATAATCCATCATCAACCACCAACACCCAACTACTTCAAATCAAATACTGGACAGTACAACAACTATAATAAACCACCAACATCCAACTTCTTCAAATAATCCATCATCAACTACCAACACCCAACTACTTCAAAACAAATACAAGACAAAACAACAGACCACATCAACTACCAACACCCAACTTCGCCTAATAAAATACTGGCCACCGTTTCACAAAGCCTTCTTAACTTACGATCACCGTATCATTTTACGATCCGTTTACGTGTTGTTCTACGTTCCCGTTACGTGTGTTTCACAAAGGCATCGTAAAGGACTACTAAGTTGATCGTAAGTTACGCACTGTGTATCATCGTATGTGTATCGTAAAACTGAACTCTAGCTGTAAACAGGATGTGTGAATCGTAGTTTATTTACATCGGAATATGGCACACTCTTCTTTCACAGATCGACGAGTCGAGCATGCCGATGAGAGCGGACGTGAAAATGTTTGCAGAGAGAATCCTTCAACATCATTGAAATTGTTTTGCCAAATTGGTTTCATGGATAAATATTGGTATCCTCACATCTTATATTTTATGTTTTGAATTATATGTTTTTGTTGAGGAAAGTTTCTGCAGATATTTTCAGGTTTGTTTGATACATGTGGTCAGATGGAATCCATTAGTAGTTTGCATGTGGGAAACTATCAGACCAATGTATTTGATGTCTGAGGGTTTTAGCTGTTGTTCCCCTGATGGATCGGTAGTTTCTTTCCGAGATGCTTTATTGAAGGATTTTCGGCTTTCCTCTACCAGGAATACAGCTGGGCATTTAGCGGTATCGGTTTGGAATCCAAGTATGTCCTTTCAGGTTTCTCGTTCGTTGCCTTGGCATTTGTGCGGCATCTGGGGTGACCTTATCCTTTATTTTGTATATAATAGTTTTTATATTTTGAATTTTTATATTTGTGAGGACGAGCGAATCAGGTGAGTGGGTGTGTTCGTATGTTTTTCATTTGTAGACGAAATACAATACTTGTATCTTTGATGAGTTACTTCCTTTGATATTCAATAATATTTTTTTCTTTGTATCGGAAATTTAAAATAATAGGAGAGTGACGAGACGTGTTTATATCTGATCAAAGGATTAAACGAATTTTTTAACAATTGTTTGATAATGTCTAAAGTTATTATAGTACTGCAATTTTAGAGGAGATATGATTGATTGACTGCTGTTTTCTGAACGTACAGTGGCAAATATTTCATGCAGATTTATGACCAAGAGAAGAATTTTGAAACAAGAAATAAGAAGTTAAATGCGTTGTCGTTGAAAAAGAATTAAAAGAAAGTCCAATAAAAATAAACAAAACCAGTGTATATAATGTGCGAATCCTGAAATACCATTTTCACTGTATCCGTTATGAATTTCTAATGTAGAATGATAAATAAACAGACGACAAATTCATGATTTTTGAATAGAATAAGAAATAAGATATAATGTGTACGGTTTTTATAAATTCATGATATAGGTATGAGATGCGGACGGGTTTTCATCGCGCCTACAGCGATCCAGGTGTAAAATTGATACACAAATAGACAAATATTAAGAATAGTTCACGAACAGAGCGTGCAAGAGATTCAAAAACAGTAGTTAAGTTTCATTTGCAGAAAAATGTACCTTTTAACATAATTATTAATGTTGTATAACTTAAAAAAGGTTTTGTTATTCAGCTTGTTGATATTGAATTAAATTCCACTATGCTGTTTTCGTTATGCGATTCATGTTTACTGTCGAATAATGATACTAGACTTTCATTTGCACTGTAGGGGCGATTCATTTCTATTGTACATGCGATGCATTTTCACGGAAGGAAATTAATTAATTTTCATCGTATAACGTCTTAATTCAGCCGACTCTCTAACAAAATTTATGAAGTCAGAAGGATTGATTATATGTGACCCGCCTCGACATTTCCAGGCTTATGGAGGTAGAACATCATTGTGAGAAAAACGCCGTTAACTATATGTGACTAGCCACTTCCAGGCTTATGAGGGTATATTGTCTAAACTTTGCTTTTTGTATATTTATCTAGAACATTCTGAAGCAAAAAAAAAAACTCTGTCATGTTATTATGACCTATTTTTTGTAATAACAATGAAACGAGTCATTTCGAATACCGACATGATAATGAGACTGTTCGATGACGAATTTTTCATTATCGAAGACACTAATTTATAAAATACAAAATTATTGTATTCTATTGGCGCTTAGTAATTTTCAACAGCGTATTTGAATAAAAATTTCAAACGAATTAAATTTACATCATTACAAACAGTTCTTAGCTCTATTTTAGAAAATGTAATTTAAACTTGTTAAAATGAAGTTAGTATAAAATTTGTCAAAGAAAGCTTTTAGAATTCCTTTTTTTTATTTGTCTTTTAATTAACTTAGATTTATGATGCATGTCTCTATACATAGTATGCGACGCGTAGCAGTTTATAAGTAGTTGTTCTCATATATGTATTTGATACAGTGCATTTATTATGGATATATTTTAGACTCCATTTATGAAAATCTATAGATCAGAGAATTTTGATTTTTTGTATCAATTTAAAATGTAGATTCAAATATTTATATATCGTTGATACAGACAAAAAGATCTTATCATGTCAAAATCATGATGCAACAGGAAATTTTCATATGCACGGTCTGAACACAAGAATTTACAGAATAAGCATATTTCTTACTGAATAGAGAAAAATGGCCAAAAGAATTACAGAATGCAGAAATGTAAACCCCCCCCCCCCCCCCCCCCCTCCCACCTAATCCAGATCCTCATATATCATTGTGACGGATAGTTTTGTTTGTTCTATTTAACTGTTTTTATTTTCGAAAAGAATATTTGTACAAGGTGTTGTTAATAAATGTAACGGACAATATATACCATGCCCTCTCAGCCGACGTCGTAATTTCATTTTTAATGAAAGAAAGTATTTAAAAGCTTCTCTCCCTGTGCAATATGATTTATTAAACTCATTAGGCAGAGCAATTTTTATGACTACTTGCATAATTGTTTAATCATATTGAATTCTGTATCAAATTTATATTAATAATAAAAGTTTCAGATCTTTAATATTGAAAACGGGTTAAAATTATTTACTTGCATTAACATGATTAATATTGATATAAAAACATCCAGTTCGTTTTTTTGTGTTTTTTTTTGTAGATCTAAGAAAAAAAGCAAGTCTGTTACACTAAAACAATTGACCAATTAAAATTGTCACATAGTGTCTTCTTATGTCGTCTGAATTACAATGTAAGTTATTAATCTGTAATTTATATATTCGCCATCCGTAATTATTATCTAAAATGTTTATTTGGCATGCCATACTCGATAGAAGTGCGGGCGTGAAAGAAAGCACTCTTCACAAAAACGTGAACGGAGATTACATTCCACGGAGGTTAAATTTCGATGATTTCGTCTTTTATAAAACATAATACGTGAATCTGAAGATAGAAGTTGTATTAAAATTGAATGCTGACACCTATATCGATCTGTTGGATGTAGAATTTATTTTCAAAATAGGTGTTTGTTTAGGATATACCATTCCACGGAGATTACATTTCTTAACAAATCTCTGCAGTTTTCAACTTTGTTTAGTTTTCAAGGCTGATATGATTTGGAATAAATGACGATTTAACAAAATTATTTATGGTAACCTTATAAAAAAAATTATTTATGGTAACCTTATATTCAAATTACACACATATCACACTCTATGTTGTGCTAAATATTTAGTCTTTCTTGGTCTTCTATCCGTTAACGGGAATTACAGGTTTACGAAGAAAACATTATGACGGCCGGTACGATCACTATCGTTGTGCAATATGTACTAAACTTTATAAAAATTAAAAGTATAGATAATAAAGAAATATAAAAATCTCAGATATAAGTATAACAAGCTACGGGTATATAACTCGAAGTCGTTAGTTTTGCTTTGTTACGGTGGGACAAATCAGCGTCATAAAATGGGCGCTTTACCGGAGAACCAGTGAGTAGCGCAAAGCTAACAAAACCTGCGTTTCAGGAGTAAGTACATGGGACCTATTTGTATCATGTTTCATATCTTGTTCTATTGCCAATGTTATTTCATTGATACTGTGTCTATCCAGTCTGTATCTGGATATAACATTCATTTCATTTTCAAAATGATCAAACGAAGAAAGTGTGGTTCTAATATTGAAGATTCTTCTTCATCTTCTAACATGTGCGGCATCTTGATCGAGAATAAAGCCATCTTTAATATGGTTTAATTCATATTTGCGGAAAAACTACGATCGAGATACTACTGGGTATAGCTGTAGTAAGTTACGCCAGGATTTACGTATTATTTACGCTCATCTTAACTTACGACGGCTTCGTGAAACGGCTGTAAAATCTACGATTTATTTACGATGAAAGTACGATGACACGTAGAGTTACGAAGGCTTTGTGAAACGGTACCCAGGACAGTACAACAACTATAATCAACCACAAACAACCAACTACTTCAAATAAACCATCATCAACCGCCAACACCCAACTACTTCAAAACAAATACAGGACAGCACAACAGACCACATCAACTACCAACACCCAACTTCGCCGAATAAAATACTTGACAGTACAACAACTATAATCAATCACCAACACCAAACTTCTTCAATTAAAATACTAAACAGTGCAACAACTATCATGAACCACCAACACCAACTTCTCTAAATGAAATACTGGACAGTACAACAACCATCATGAACCACCAACAACCAACTTCTCTCAATGAAATACTGGACAGTACAACAACCATCATGAACCACCAAAACCCAACTTCTCTAAATGAAATACTAGTACTGGACATATTGCATTCCTTTCTATGTTCATTATTCGCCTTCCAGTTTCGATCGAATATATGCAATAATATTCAACTGTCCCATATAATTCATCTATCTATGCAAGACGAATTGTTTAGTATCGTTTCATTAGTTAATGACTCAAAGGAACACAAAGCATTTATTAACTAAAACAGAAAACATTTTTTTCCTGGAATTTTTTATAAAGAAAACAAACACCTGTATATAGTATCATTTCGCCAGGACGGGTGCAGACATTTGTCTTATTATTTTTATAAATGAACGAAAAATAATGACAATAATTTGCAAATATGTCGTTGCAATTCTACAGTCTTTCATAATCTACAAAGATAACAGTTACATATTAGCTTATAGTCGAATATTTTACAACCAATGGATTCTGTTGGCTTGTAGAGAAGAATTTTACAAGCCCGAAAGCAATTTTATAAGCCAATGCCGTAGGACTTGTGGTTAAGCATGAAGACTGTATACTGACAAATACTGACAACATTTGCATTAGCCGATTACTATATACCCCTACTGCTAGATTAAAGATACAATTGTTCATCATTTAAGATTACTTTCTTTACAGGTACCCCCCTCTGCAGAAAAAGTTACTTTTAAAGACTTGGGGCATCGACCACCATATTTTTACTGTTTGGCTGTGTTTAAACGAGGTGTTTGATTGATGCAGTTAGATTTAGGCCTGTTAAAGACTTGAGGCTGATTATTTTATTATTATGTCCAATCTATATGTTTTTATCACGCATATGTGAAAACAATGGCATGAGCGGAACAAAACTTTGTGAAATAGACTATAAAAATGCTGAAATTAAGATTTGTTCATTGCTGCTATGAGTTTTATATGAATTGTGTGTTCAGAATAATACATTCAACGTTACTAAGAAGAAAAGGTATAGCCTTTGATTTTTTACTTAATTTTAATATTTCAGGGGTATCAGTAATTTTCTTCTGATACCGTTTACTACCTATTAGCTTATTAATTTGCCTACTCCATTTTCTAAAATATTTCGAAAAATACAGTGATGCACCAGAAATCATTATTTCGCTTTAGGTTAGAATGAAATAATTATTTACATAGGACAACGATAGCCTTTTTTTTGGTTCTGCGTTTTCACTATAAAAGATCCTTTGATAAAACTGTCAGATTCTGAATTTTCAACATCTTTAGGTGTGAATAAAACTGCAAAACAATCATGGTGCCGCAGTTTTTCTGATAGAAAAATGGCATTTTTTAACGGAACTCTATTAGTCAGGAATTTTCGAAAAAGTATGAATAACAAAACCCCTTGCTTAATTTTGCACAGAACATTTGCTCATCAAAGATAGTTTCCTCCAAATGTCTCGCTATTTGTACACCAATAGCCAACACTCATTTCTCACTATTTCAATTTCGTTTTCTAATTATCAGGGCAGCAGAAAATAAATTTACTTCTGCCTACTATTTTGGATGTAAAGACTAGGAGGCGGAAGTCATCTTTATTTACTTCCTTTTAACCTATGCTGACAAATACTGAAATAAAATTCGAAAATTTGCATTAGTCGATTACTATATACCCCTACTGCTTACGTTCCAATTTTTGGATTAAAGATACAATTGTTCATCATTTAAGATGCGCAAGAAATGATTATTTTGCTTTAGGTTAAAAGGAAATAATTATTTACATAGGCGACAATGATAGCCTTTTTTGGTTCTGCGTTTTCACTATATAAGATACGTTGTTAAAACTCTCAGATTCTGAATTTTCAACACCTTTGGGTGTGAATAAAAATGAAAAACACATATGGTGCCGCAGCTTTTTTAATAGAAAAATGGCATTTTTTAAGATTACTCTATGGTTCTGGAATTTCGAAATAGTATGAATATACACCTTGCTTAATTTTGCACAGAAAATTTGCTCATCACAGAGAGTGTCCTCTCAATTTCTCGCTATTTTTTACACCAATAGCCAACACTCTTTTCTCACTATTTAAATTTCGTTTTCTAATTAATAGGGCAGCAGAAAATAAATTTACTTATACCTATTATCTTGGATGTAAAAACTAAGTCGCGCCAGTCATCTTTATTTACTTCCTTTTAACAACAACGCCATGTAAAAAAAAGAAAAGATCAAAAGACAAACAACAGTATAAACATAAAAATCTAAAGACTTGGCAACACGAACCCTACAAACAACTGACCTCAGGTGCTCCGGAAAAACAAGCAGATCCTTCCGCACGAGGCAGCAGTCGTGTTGCTCATGTTAGTATAAATTCGGTGATAAGTCTAATTTAGGAGGTCACATTCGGTAAAAACGAGGTCGGGATTGTGGTTACGACGATTGGAAATCATGGTAGGAAATGCAAGCCCAGGAATATCGAATCAACCAAGAGATATATACTATATTATGCAGGCGCTGGAATATTGCTACATAAAATGGTAAGTTCACAAATGAGAAGCTGAAATCATTTCCTTTTTTCTTCTCTCGTAAAGTTGTGTTCTCAAACGACCCTAATTGTCAATTTCTAGATGTAAGGCAAGATATGAGGCAGACTTAACTGTATCTGTTGTATCCTTTATTTCAAATTCTATGGCATGGATGCGTTCAACATAGTCACCAACCTTCCATTATTTAATGAGAGGATATCATCCATATAGCGGAAAGTGAAGTTAAAAGATACTGCTAGCTTCCTTTCATTCTTCCTAAGAAGCTTCTGTTTGAAGTCAGCCTCATATGAATAAAGGAATAATATGATAGGAAAGAAGCACAGTTTGTTCCCAGGGAAAGCCGATAGTTTGTTGAAAAACACGTCTCCCAAACGTAACAAATATGTTGTCAATCAAGGAATCAAGCATCTTGATTATGTCAGTTTCAGAGAATTTTTTGTTTTAATCAGAGTGATTTATTCCTCCCTAAGACCAGATACTTTTATCTACGTTGGCCATTTTTTATGAAACAAAGCCGGACCAACTCATTTTATTTGTCATTTAGTTTGGAATGGGAAACACCTGTGTAAAAGGTAGAAAAGTTGAATGATTTAAACTATTGCAAGATGAAAGAGCCTTCGATTGTATGTACTCTAACAAATCTTTGGAATCTTTAAGTATCCACATCTGATACACTTCGCCTCTAGAATAGGTAGTTTCACAACTTTGAAGCCCGGCTTTTATTGCTAGTAAAATTGATGTTAATAATTTAGAAAGAAGTTTCGTCAAGCACTTGGAAGACTATAACGTTGTCTGTAAGGACATTTATGTAATTTAGATATCCAACACAGTGAAGGAAGATCCATTACTTCATCTTTGGTTGAAATTCCAAAAGAACATAGAACAGACCTATGATTATCCAGGATAACCTCCTTGGTAAGTGTGATGGGGGTATATGTTGAGTTTCCAAGTGAATAGTCAATATTTAATTCATTTATCAAGCAGTTTGTGTGATGTAATTTCAACTTAAATGATGTTGTTTGCTCCATCTGTAGGAACAACAACAGATTTGTCATGGAGGTAGGACAGGTGATTTGCAACACTAAGGTCTTTAGAGATTGATGAAGCATGTGTATTCATAGACCCAGTCAGTTTTTTATTTGCATCAACGACCTTACAGCCTTAATCCACTCGGAAAGAGAATTTACGTCTTCTTTCTCGCGTTTAACCCATTGCCTGGCATAATCCTCGACTGAATCCATCAGTATTTTGAAGTTGTGATTCCAATTGATGGATTAAGGCTCATGATATTTCAGGGCTTTGGATAACACATTTCGCAGGGAGTGTTATTGACAATGTTAAGGTCACCTAATTACGTGGCTAGTCTGATTATATATAAATAGGGAACCAGCGATCAAGAGGTTTAGACTTGAAATCGTCAAAATTAAGATCCCGCAATACGGATTTGTCATTGAAATTTGTAGTTGCGATTGGTTTCAATCAGAATCATCCAAATTATGATATCGTCCGTAAACATTTAAGAAATGTGTTGATTTTCTCCATTGGGAATCCTCACTCAGGGTTAAGACTGTATCTCATTGCATGCAACGTTTATCAAAGAAATCCTTACTGGAAACTGGAAAATACATGTATCATCATAATTGCATGACTTGAAGAACCTTCCGAACAATGCTTCGTCAGAAGCCCTATATCTCGTCAAGAATAGGGCCATAATTGGGTTGAATGCAAATTAAAACACCCACAATAATAAATATAAATGGATAGCGTAGACTAGTAGGTGACGAGATTACAAAAATTGGTAAAAATAGCCTATTTCAAATTGCACAGTATTGAAAGCTAGACTTGAATTCTAAATCTTCTTAATAGTTATACTGGTCATAAAAAATATAATAAAACACATAATTGTTTTTTATGATGCTCAAAGTAATCTAACAAAATCGAAAAATTATGTTTTTAGAGAAAAACGCTAGGTTCCAAATTACGAACTAAACATTTTGTAAACATTTCATATTTAAAATAACGAAATTTATATTACGGTCGATCGGTTGGAGATATATCTTCATAAATTCAGTCCCATAAAGATGCTTTTTAATACTGTTACCGGTTTCAGGTGGGTTCGTGTTGATCAGTCTTTAGTTTTCTATGTTGTGTTTTGTATACTCTTGTTTGTCTTTTGGTCTTTTGTTTTGCCATGGCGTTTTTAGTTTATTTTCGACTTAGGAGTTTGAATGTCCCTTCGGTATTTTTCGCCTCTGTTTTACAATTATTATTTATTGTGTTGAAAATAATAAGAAGAATATCACTTTAAAACTTCAAAATTGAAAGATTGATTACTGAAATAAAAAATGCAACTTGTCTTTATTTAAATTTTAGCGCAACGACAAAAGTGTAAATCGTAACAGCAAGTCCGATCACATGAAAAACATAGCTGTTTCAAGAAATTATTGTTTGCATTTGTCAATTTGCAGAGATTATTTATTAATAAAAACAAATCGTGACGCCAAATACTTTGAATCTAGAATAATCACAAAGTCACCTGTTTTTAAAATGTCCTGATTTTTAAAAATTTGGGTTACAAACGAAAATGGCTGCTTTCTTTTAAATCTTCTTTCTTTGAAACTGAAATGCTAACCTGTATCAACCTGTTGAGGAATAAATTATACAATTTCGTTTTTTTTGTATGCAACATGGATGTGTAATACTAATTATATGCTATTTCTTGTACTTTATATTATAACATATTCAGGTTTAACGCAAAGTTTGAATTTGAATTTTAACAGTTTACAACTTCAAAGCTAATGAGACGAAAACGGGTTAACTAAACTCTATCTCTCAAAATTTAACATTGTCAGCTTAAAAATTGTCAACTTGGAGTGAACATGATCAAATACGAAGGGAAAAATATCACGAGAACTGTAAACTTGGAATTGAGAAATTTAACAAAAGTATGTCAATATATGTGCATGTATCTGTGTAAACTAACGCAACTACAATAGTTTAAAAAATCTAATTAAAATGGAAAAAAGTTAGAGAATTAAATCATAACCACGGCTAATGGTGTATATTTTTACTTATTATTCATCTCGTCGCTCCTTATTTCAAAAACTGTATTTATGAAAATCGTGTACAATGTTTAAACACATTTAAAATACTTATTATTTGTCATTAATACACTACTAGTACACAGTTACAGTTCACATATTCCGTCTTTTCGTTATACGGGGAACAATTTGACAAACATGGTAAGGTTTTAATTAACTTTATTGAGTAATGCAAAATAGAATATTACACACATGAGAACACTTATTTAAGTGTGCATCATATTAATATTGTTCGTGATTTTTCACAGTGTAAGTGTTTATCTAAGTAGCAAGGCATTATTTCAGTCATAAAAATGATCAAAACACTCTACGTTGTCACCACTTAACAGTACCGTTTTTGAAAAGTGTACGAGGCTTAAAAAATAAAATATAAAATGTACAGTTGTACATCCGACCTGAATGTATAGTTTAAGGGTTATGACATCTTTAGTAGTCATGTGTATTATAGTGCCATAGTATCAAAACAGGAAGAAAAAAAAACAAATAAAACAAACGTGCCGTTTTGTACATACACATACTTGTAAAGAAAACGTCTTTCACAGCAATAATATTTATTGTTTCATTGCATTTGATTGGAAGGTTGACTTTCTGCCAAATCAAGCCAAGATTTGTACAGAATATCCACTGACATTATTACAGTGATTGAATACCTAGATTACTCACTTGTTTATCCATGTAATGTTTACAAATAGTCCTAAACAACCTTTGCAGTCCTAAAACCCTCGTGCTGAGTCATTCAAGTCGAGCTTAGTACATACCATAGGAGGTGTACTTTAATAAGTCCATGACTGTACTGGTTTTAACTAATATCTTTATTTTAAAAACATGTTGTAGGGAAATCATTTCTAGCACTGCATAAAGTAATCTATTGATAACGGATTGTCAGGGCACACACAAAACAATTAGGCAGGCGTTCTCCAACATAAGTACCCTTGTTTAGAACCGAGGTGACATTTAGTTCTGAAATTATGTTATAAAATACACATTTTAGTCTAATAAAGTAGGTTCAAATCTTTTAGCCTTACTAATGCAATAGTTTACCTTTTTAATCCCATTTCAAATATCTTAAATGCTATATACTTGCTTTATATTGACAACTAGACATAAAAGCCTTACATACTGCAAACATTAAATATATCTAACTTTTAAACTGGTGCGAGAATTATGTGTGAGAAAGAACAGAAGAAGAAGAGGAACTGAGCAAAAACAATATATTTCCGAACTTCGTTTGGGATACTGTTTTACCATAATGAAGTTGTGCATTAACATACCATGAAAGATCATACATTACATTTGGAATTAAAAAGAGGAATAAATGTAACAATAAAGTAAACATTATAGATAAAAAGGCCATATATTGTAGTTATACCTAAACCTTACTCAAAAACAAATTTCTTATGTATAATTCGTTGGTGTTTTAGTACGTATACGTATCAAGTTTAGTGGGAAAAGTCTATCGTATTTCCGAAACCACTATTTCTGTGATATTTCAGGGTGAACAGCTGACAGAAGAACAAATTAAAGGTTGGTAACCTTGGAATGTTGATTTTGTTGGTAACAAGATATCATTATAAGGAAAGACTGATATTTAGTTGTATAATTTTTTCTTACATTTGTGCTTGTTATGTGAATTACTTTTCGGTTCATTGATATTGGTTACTCTAAAAAAAAACGGTGTATATGTAATTGAATTATTCCTTAAGCTTCTATCTATCATAGGAATAAATTATATGGCCATTTATTTGGTAGGCATTTCTGTAAAACAATTCTCCTAACAAATTGAAGATTTTGTTGAGATTTATTCTGAACTGCAGTCAGGCAAAATGTAAAGTCCCATTTCTTTGGCAGAAAGACAACATTATTGTATTGTGCAAATAAATCATCTCAGAGAACCGACAATGGAATGTACTATGTTACTACATATATGAAATGATTTGAATGAATGTTTGTGTAATGCTTGGTCGTCGACTTTCGAAGAGAGGGGTCAAAATGTAATACTTGCGAGAATATATTCTTTAATGTTTTATGCAACAAAAAATGAAAGTGTACCTGATTATGAAATATATATGCATGAATGCATGTACAACTTTAAACTTCCTTTCACACTGACGGGATACAATTATCATAGGTTATAGTCTAGACATGTCAGTAAAATTTAAAATGTCGTATTAACAAATAATAAGGTTCAATACGAATAAACTGTAATGGGTTGCACATTTCCCTTTTGTTTTCATTCTACAATGAAAATTCACCGAAACACAGTTGAGCTAAGCGTTTGGTGATTGAGAAATAACCTTATAACGTATCACAATCAATCGAACAAATTATAACGTCCTATCTAATTGACCGAAAGATACAAACAAAACAACAATTATCGTATTGTGCACGTGAACAGACACAGTCGATGGACAATGGTTACTGCGAAAATAAGATGAAATGAATGCCTGTTTGGTAAAAGAGGGGTCGAAATGTATCAGAAAATTTTATTTCATTCTACGACAAAAATACCGGCAGAATGAAAAATATAGTTTTGTAGAATATTTGCGAGTGGATTTTTCTTTCAAAATAGATACCTAAGTAATCATAAAATAATGAAATTAAGATATTAATAAAATACCCCCATTTTCTTTCGAAACTGAGAGCAATGTTAATACCTGCAAGTGGTTATTACCTCGTTAAACAAAATTTCATTAATATGCCGTTGTTTTTAAGCACGAGTAACAATGTAATCAGGACGGAGTGTTTAACAATAATGCATTAACGGATTCAGATGGAGGGAACTGGAATTAGTCCATCTTTCTCAAGATTTATTTTAATCAAGTAAACTAAATCAAGAAAAATCTCACTTAAACCTCTCTTATTACACGTCGAATCCCAAAACCCAAAACTTCCATGCTTTTGTCAGCTACTGGATTTTGCCATGATGTAAAATTTAAGTCATAGTGATTCATACTTTCATTTGCTAAACGGTCAAGTGTTATTGATATACGCGATATTTCTACCCTCTCTACTTTATTACATATCTACACATTGAAATGGAATAATGGAATTATATGCGACTGTCATACAAGTGAGAGGTTTAGCTAGCCAGAAAACCAGATTTAATCAACTATTTTCTACATAAGGAAATGTCTGTACCAAGTCAGAAATATGACAGTTGTTTTCCATTCGTTTGATGTGACTGAGCTTTTGGTTTTGCCATTTGATAAACGACTTTCCGTTTTGAATTTTTCTTGGAGTTCGGTATTTTTGTTATTTTACTTTTTATTCACTGAAATAGGATTATTTTCATGAAATATAAAATATCTAAAAAAAATTTATGCTGACGATAAAATATGAAATTTGAACAATTTATTGCACTAGCATATGTACTGTAAAATCGGCCATATCTGTACTATGTGTTTTTGTCGTTAGAAACGGTCTCATGTACGTAATCTGTCCCATCGAACTTGAGATAAAGTATACATCAGATACAGTTAAGTCTGCCACATATCTTGACTTACATCTAGAAATTGACAATAAAGGTCGGTTGAAAACAAAATTTACGACCAAAAAGATGATTTCAGCTTCCCAATTGTGAACTTTCCATTTCTTTGTAGCAAAATTCCAGAAGCGCGGAGTATATATCTCCCAGTTGATACGATATTCCAGGGCTTGTATTTCCTATCATGATTTCCTTGATAGAGGGTTGCTGCTCACAAGGACGCTATGAAATCAAGAATTCCAAGTGGTGAAGTTGAAATCATCCTTTCGTAAATTCGTGACGCCATCACGAGTTGGTTGACCGTTATGGAATATCTGTTTCACATATGACGACAGATATGTTCCAATTGTCTTAACTACTATCTCGTCCCCTTTCCCTCGAATGTGACCTACCGAATTAGACATATCACCGAGTTTGTACTTGTAGCACGACGGGTGCCACATGTCGAGCAGGATCTGCTTACCCTTCCGGAGCACCTGAGATCACCCCCAGTTATTGGTGGGGTTCGTGTTGCTCGTTCTTTGGTTTTCTATGTTGTGTTTTATGTACTGTTGTTTGTCTGTTTGTCTTATTCTTTTAGCCATGGCGTTGTCAGTTTCATTTTCGACTTATGAGTTTGAATGTCCCTTTGGTATCCTTCGCCTCTCTTTTACCCAACATCACCAATTTGTTTTATTCATGTCTCAATGCAAACACATTATGGTGTAACTTTACAAATTGAACACGTGTACGAGGTAAATCTAGAACTATTTGAGTGGAGAAAGTATTGTCATGGAAGTGTTGATAATTGTCAATATATGTTTCAGTGGTATGATTCTATATTTCACCTATAAAAGAACCTTTGTTATTAAATTTAAAAAATTAAGACGAAGAACTAGTGCAAATAGTAATAAATGTTTATGTGAGGTCGAAGGTTTTAATTGACAAATGACAACGAGCATTTTATTACGAGTTGATCTAATTAAGATTGTTTAAATGCTTATGTCGCGGGACCTATCTCCAAGCCTGACTGCAGTTAAGTGTAATTCTGATTTATAGACTTTGAAGAGAGATTCAGTTTATATGACAAAGATGGCGACGGAACAATTCCAACAAAAGATCTGGGAAAAGTTATGAGATCTCTTGGATACAATCCTACAGAAGTAGAACTCCAAAATAATATGATAAATGTAGAAGACGCAGGTGGTATTTATCTATTTATTGAATACGGATTTGTAAATGTAGTTATTACATTAAACGATACCAATACTACTGCTCCAGATTCGCAATTCGACAATTAATGTTTCTTAAGTGAGGTTATGGGCCAAAATATTATATAACTTGCATTTCGTGCACCTTACTATATGTATTCTATGCGAGTCAAAAGAAAGTTATACATTAAAGACACATCACTACTATTGCTACTGTTATAGATATGATTTATATACTCATGATAGTAAAGCTTTCAGAATGATAGCGTTTGCATAATGTATTAACAATTCAAAAAAGATAATTGCATACGCAAAACTTGCGTTTCGTCTAAACAAAGACACATCAGTGACGCTCGAATCAAAAAAGTTAAAAAGGTCAAACAAGGTACGTAGATAAAGTACATTGAGAACTTTATATCCCGAAAGGTTTATGGCATGATTTTTTTCACAAGTAGATTTAGTAAATTGAGCTTTCATTCAGTTAGTGTGAGTAATATTTAATATGGCTCATAATTGCACCTGAGCTTTTTATTCTGTAATACCATATGATTATTCGAAACACAAAGGTTTTTAGTCTCACATGCATAGATGGCCTCATTTTTTTGGATTTTTTGGATTATTGATTTTGATTCCTGCGTCTTTGATTAGTCTTCTGCTATCTAAATGCACGTCCTTCGAACCAAATTATAAGCATGGTATCGTATGAGAGGTGTTTTGTGCCTCAGTGAGATATATCTCATAAATTCGTTTATTCGTAAAAGATATGTCGGTCCTGTTAGAAGAATGAAGTAATCACTATATTAAAATGTGATCACTGTCATACATCAAAAAATTAAAGAAGTTATTTGGAAACGTCTGTGAAAAGAGGTTAGCTTAAAAAATCAAGAGGCGTGTATGGCAACACTTAAGTTAAGATAAACATTCAAGCAAGTTTATACGTGAAGCAGGGACAATCACAGAAAATATTAATAGTACATAAAACTCATCAAAAAGTTTATCTCTTTCACATTGAACACGTCTTCCTTGCAGGCAGTGATACAATAAATTCCCCAGAATTCCTATCAATGATAGCATGGAAAATGAACAAAACGATTCCAAGAATGATTTAAAAGAGACACGTTGTGATAAAGAATTGTAATGGTGTTGTATTTGTATTTTCTTGGGATAGAATATTCTATAAACTTTCTATGCACTGTTAATTTATATATTGGTAATATGAGTTCTGCTTTAAAACTTAACATTTGCATTATGCGATAATATGACAATGATAATAGATTTATTATCAATCATTTTCGTACAAATTATAAGCCTGGTATATGATGAGTTCTTTCTTTATTTTATTTACGATTTACTCATACTAACTAAGTGATAGAACAAAGATGTTTCCGCTTACTTATCGCTTTATCGACGCCCTTTCCTCTGTGCACACATGAATTGTTTCTTGTCAGTAGTTAACTTGATCAGATATGTTGTCGGTTGGTTGCCTCTTAGTCAAGGTACTTGTGGTTGTTCGACATCTATTTGTAACCTAATTCAAGTACATCATTTCAGCAGCTTGCATTACAGTCTTTTTGTTTTTTTTTAACTCTTTCATCAACGTCCAATCGACTCGAAATACAAGTATATGACTAGATAGAACATAACTTTGTGACAGCCGATCTTCGCTGGAAAGTCAAAAATCTTCCCATAAAAAATGTATAATCTGAAGTCGTTCAACTGTCAAGAAAACGCTCTTTGACATGTCTTGTATCCTATTATTTACACAGTCAATAAATGCATGTATGCAATCAAATGTATCTATAACTAAATATGACAAATCTATGATAATATATTATTTATTTACAAGTATGCATGCTTGTTAATTAACATTTTCTTGCGTTGTAGGTTTGGTTTATGAAGTCCAAGCAGAACATTGCTACAAGAATCATTACCTTCTTCCTTAAAATGTTTCATCATATATACACGTCACCAAAGGCTATTATTGAAATGTTACCATATTTGAAAAAAAATGAATTGTAATATATTGTAATTAATTAGGAACTACAGAACCATATGTAATACTGTCGTTTCAAATTTACTTCAAGTTCGATATGACAAAATGTTCATGAGAATAATTCATATTCTTTAAATATGATTGACATTGGAATCTAGTCATTGGGTTAAATAAGTCCAATTCTTTCGATATAGAATTGAATAATATTCATTTCTAATTTAACATAAATGAAAGCAAGAAGTGGAAACATTTTGCATGAAGCGTGAACGCGCTTCTTGCTAGATATGAGTTTAAGTGGCCTATCGGTTCATAACGATATATGTCATATATTGGTTTTGTTGTGTTGAGGTTCGTGTTGCTCAGTACTTTGTTTTCTGTGTTGTATTTTGTATGCTGTTGTTTGTCTCTTGGCACTGGCGTTATCAATATCAAAAAATCAGGAGATGTAATATGATTGCCAATGAGACAACTATCCACCAGAGTTCAAATAAAGTGGATATAAGCAATATAGGTAACCGTGTAGTCTTAAACAATGAGAACAACCCATACGGTATAGTCGGCTATAAAAGGCACCGACATGAAACATATGAAACAATTAAAATGAGAAAACTAATGGCATCGGTTTGTTTACGACTAATGAGTTTGAATGTCCCTTTCGTATCTTTAGCCTCTCTTTTATTGACTCGTCTGCTGCCCGCCCATAACTTCCCCTCATTTTCAAAAAGTATTTATAAAACGTTATAAAGTGAAAATAAACTCATCATAGATACCAGGATTGAAATTTTGTATTTGCGCCAGACGCGCGTTTCGTCTACAAAAGACTCATCAGTGACGCTCGAACCGACCTTGTCCACAATAATCCTTAAAGTGTTTATCTGTAAAAGAGAACATGATTGGTGTTACTAAAAAACTATAGCTTTTAAGGAACACATAAGTAAATTGAAAAAAATCTTTAAAAAAGCGTTTTAGGAAGAGATACATATGTATTCCTCTTTTCTTGTTTCATGGAACACACAATCGTAATCCAGCCTTATCATATCTGTGACTACAGATGAAAAGTATGAAGAAATCATTGTAGTCATTTGAGGCAATGTTTGTAAGTATTTAACAAATATTAGGTTATATCTTGACTTACATCTACAAATTGACAATGATGGTCGGTCGGTCGAGAACAAAACTTTGCGACAACAGAGATGATTTCAGCCTCCCAATTGTAAACTTTCCCATTTCAATGTAGCAACATCCCAGCAACACCTTTATATGGAGTATCTATCTCCTATTTGATACGATATTCCAGAGGTGGCATTTCCCATCTTGATTTTCTTGATAGAGGGTTGCTGCTTACAAGAAAGCTTTTGAACCAAGTTGAAACCATCCCTTCGGAAATTTTACTGACGCCATCACGAGTTGGTTGACCGTTATGAAATACATGTAACTGTTTCACAGATGACGACAGATATGATCCAATTGTTGTAACCACAATCCCGTCCAATTTTCTCGAACGTATACTACCGAGTTAGACTTATTACCGGGTTTGTACTTACATGAGCAGCACGACGGGTGCCACATGTGGATCAAGATCTGCTTACCCTTCCTTACCTTGATACGATATTCCAGAGCTTGCATTTCCTGGTCCAAGGACACAGTTATCATCCTTTGGTTTTCGTTGTCTACGAATATAGTCCCTAGTGTGAACAGTGTATAACTTGCATTTTTTTTTTGATACACTTTCCCAATTTATTTCTTGATATTTTATGCATGAAATATTAAGTAAGGGGATGAAATTACATGTTAAAAAAGTTTGGGTGCTGAATCTTTATGTTAAGTAGTGATTTGGTCCAGTTAAAAAAGGTCAAAAATTAGAATGTCTGAAGATGTCAAACTGAATTTTAGCCCCCCTTAACACAGAATTGTCAATATTTTGAGTTAGAGCTGGTAGAAGTTTCTATAATTTTGATATTATTTGTATCAATAGTAGTACACTACACTGTAAAAATCTTTTTGAGATAGAGCAGGTGCGATTTTTTTAATTTGAATTTATTGTCTAAAAGAAATGCACTACGAAATAACTGTGTTCTCGGGCCTAAGAGATGAATTCCGTGAATGTAGATTCTGTACTTTGGCAACTTTCCTGAATGGTTTGCTGGTTTCAATTTGTCAAACTCAATAAAAGTAAAGGATTTACATCTTTGTTTGACAGAAATTCTGTTAAAATGTCCCATTTTGGCATTATACGGCTAAAATAAGCATTTTAAAGCAGTTTCCATTTTATGCCAAAGAGCCATGCTGACTTTCTATCTGACAGCTTTTTATGTTCCTGATATTTGTGTTTCTATGCTTAAATCAAATTTAATTAACCATTTGTGAACTCGCAATCTAGAGAAAAGTATATTATCACAGAAAAAATGTGCAGAATATTTGTATTTATGTCCCTGGTTAAACGGCCTGTTTGATGTATGTGAAATGTGAAGAGCTTTGTACATAAAATCTGTAGTCCATCACAAATATTTCACTAAATCTGTAAAAAAAAACACTTTACAATGATCAGTACACCCTATTCATTTCATATGCTACCATAATTTTTTTTCTTTAGGATAGTAAGTGGTTCAAATATAGGCCAAATGAGACTAAAACTACATGCAAGTTTTCCATTGAAAAGTGAAAAACTGGTCATCAGACCATACTGTCTGCAAAAAAAAGTTGAATTCAAGAGTCCTTTTGCAACTAGACTTCTTGTATCATGACATCTTAGCATAGAAATGAGCAAAAAGTAACAAATTTCAATTTCTTATAGCCTCTGTGTGCATTTTTATATGTAAATATGGGCTACGGCCTAAATCGACTCTAAATAATTTTCAGTCTTACATGGCCTAAGACCATTTTATACTCATGTGGTATGCTTTTTTGTAACTTTTCTTTACATTTAAAGTACATTTAATATATATGGAAGAATAATGTATGGATAAAAAACTTCAAAAACTTCAAATTGGTTGAAAAAAATGCATGTTTATGTAAGGCTTCCCTTAATTCGAAAATCTCTATTTTCAGGTACAGGCTCATATAAATTTGACTTTTGAATAACTGTAATAAATCTGATAAATCAAATGAGTATTCCGTTGCTTTTAATACTTATTATATTAAATTCAAGAGTACTTAAAAAGCAAATTTTTGCAATATTTAAATTTTTTAGGCCAAAATCTTGACAGTTGAAAATATTTGATTTAAACGTCAAAAATAAACATCCAAATTTCAATATTAAAATGGCCCTAGTTTCTATAATATATATTCTATGGCCATGAAACTTGGCCAACTATCTTATAATTGCCTAGGGTAAGGTAATGCAAAGTTTTATTAAAATTGGTCAAGTCTTTCTATCCTATTAGGTCCAAGGACACAGTTATCGTCCTTTGGTTTTCGTTGTCTACGAATATAGTCCCTAGTGTGAACAGTGTATAACTTGCATTTTTTTTTTGATAGATACACTTTCCCAATTTATTTCTTGATATTTTATGCATGAAATATTAAGTAAGGGGATGAAATTACATGTTAAAACAATTTGGGTGCTGAATCTTTATGTTAAGTAGTGATTTGGTCCAGTTAAAAAAGGTCAAAAATTAGAATGTCTGAAGCTGTCAAACTGAATTTTAGCCCCCCTTAACACAGAATTGTCAATATTTTGAGTTAGAGCTGGTAGAAGTTTCTATAATTTTGATATTATTTGTATCAATAGTAGTACACTACACTGTAAAAATCTTTTTGAGATAAAGCAGGTGCGATTTTTTTAATTTGAATTTATTGTCTAAAATAAATGCACTACGAAATAACTGTGTTCTCGGGCCTAAGAGATGAATTCCGTGAATGTAGATTCTGTACTTCGGCAACTTTCCTGAATGGTTTGCTGGTTTCAATTTGTCAAACTCAATAAAAGTAAAGGATTTACATCTTTGTTTGACAGAAATTCTGTTAAAATGTCCCATTTTGGCATTATACGGCTAAACTAAGCATTTTAAAGCAGTTTCCATTTTATGCCTAAGAGCCATGCTGACTTTCTATCTGACAGCTTTTTATGTTCCTGATATTTGTGTTTCTATGCTTAAATCAAATTTAATTAACCATTTGTGAACTCGCAATCTAGAGAAAAGTATATTATCACAGAAAAAATGTGCAGAATATTTGTATTTATGTCCCTGGTTAAACGGCCTGTTTGATGTATGTGAAATGTGAAGAGCTTTGTACATAAAATCTGTAGTCCATCACAAATATTTCACTAAATCTGTAAAAAAAGCACTTTACAATGATCAGTACACCCTATTCATTGCATATGCTACCATAATTTTTTTTCTTTAGGATAGTAAGTGGTTAACATATATGCCAAATGAGACTAAAACTACATGCAAGTTTTCCATTGAAAAGTGAAAAACTGGTCATCAGACCATACTGTCTGCAAAAAAAAGTTGAATTCAAGTGTCCTTTTGCAACTAGACTTCTTGTATCATGACATCTTAGCATAGAAATGAGCAAAAAGTAACAAATTTCAATTTCTTATAGCCTCTGTGTGCATTTTTATATGTAAATATGGGCTACGGCCTAAATCGACTCTAAATAATTCTCAGTCTTACATGGCCTAGAACATTTTATACTCATGTGGTATGCTTTTGTGTAACTTTTCTTTACATTTAAAGTACATTTAATATATATGGAAGAATAATGTATGGATGAAAAACTTCAAAAACTTCAAATTGGTTGAAAAAAATGCATGTTTATGTAAGGCTTCCCTTAATTCGAAAATCTCTATTTTCAGGCACAGGCTCATATAAATTTGACTTTTGAATAACTGAAATAAATCTGATAAATCAAATGAGTATTCCGTTGCTTTTAATACTTATTATATTAAATTCAAGAGTACTTAAAAAGCAAATTTTTGCAATATTTAAATTTTTTAGGCCAAAATCTTGACAGTTGAAAATATTTGATTTAAACGTCAAAAATAAACATCCAAATTTCAATATTAAAATGGCCCTAGTTTCTATAATATATATTCTATGGCCATGAAACTTGGCCAACTATCTTATAATTGCCTAGGGTTAGGTAATGCAAAGTTTTATTAAAATTGGTCAAGTCTTTCTATCCTATTAGGTCCAAGGACACAGTTATCGTCCTTTGGTTTTCGTTGTCTACGAATATAGTCCCTAGTGTGAACAGTGTATAACTTGCATTTTTTTTTTGATAGATACACTTTCCCAATTTATTTCTTGATATTTTATGCATGAAATATTAAGTAAGGGGATGAAATTACATGTTAAAAAAATTTGGGTGCTGAATCTTTATGTTAAGTAGTGATTTGGTCCAGTTAAAAAAGGTCAAAAATTAGAATGTCTGAAGCTGTCAAACTGAATTTTAGCCCCCCTTAACACAGAATTGTCAATATTTTGAGTTAGAGCTGGTAGAAGTTTCTATAATTTTGATATTATTTGTATCAATAGTAGTACACTACACTGTAAAAATCTTTTTGAGATAGAGCAGGTGCGATTTTTTTAATTTGAATTTATTGTCTAAAAGAAATGCACTACGAAATAACTGTGTTCTCGGGCCTAAGAGATGAATTCCGTGCATGAATGTAGATTCTGTACTTTGGCAACTTTCCTGAATGGTTTGCTGGTTTCAATTTGTCAAACTCAATAAAAGTAAAGGATTTACATCTTTGTTTGACAGAAATTCTGTTAAAATGTCCCATTTTGGCATTATACGGCTAAACTAAGCATTTTAAAGCAGTTTCCATTTTATGCCTAAGAGCCATGCTGACTTTCTATCTGACAGCTTTTTATGTTCCTGATATTTGTGTTTCTATGCTTAAATCAAATTTAATTAACCATTTGTGAACTCGCAATCTAGAGAAAAGTATATTATCACAGAAAAAATGTGCAGAATATTTGTATTTATGTCCCTGGTTAAACGGCCTGTTTGATGTATGTGAAATGTGAAGAGCTTTGTACATAAAATCTGTAGTCCATCACAAATATTTCACTAAATCTGTAAAAAAAGCACTTTACAATGATCAGTACACCCTATTCATTGCATATGCTACCATAATTTTTT